TCAACTCCCAGAATTCCCCAGCCAGCATTCGCTGGCTGGGGAATTCTGGGAGTTGAAGTCCGGACATCTTCAAGTTGCCAAGGTTGAAAAACACTGTCATAAAGGATAGTTAATAATCCATAAGGAGTGTAGGTGGCATGGGGAAAGTTTGTTCATTAGGAGAAATTCAGGCATAGCTATGTTTTGAGCTACAGTTAGTGCCCTCAGGGTTAGTGGATTAATAAACTCACTGTTGGTGTTCAGACAACACCCCACATTCCACCCAGTGCCCCAGTTAAGTGGCTCATGTGATCCTAATGCACTTTACTTTCCTAAGTAAAACACCAAGATTTGCTTGCTTTTTCAGTCAAACATTGAATCAACCATACATTCCTGCTATACTTATTTAAAACGTGTTAATATGTTTTGAATAGAAAATTCTGTCAGATGTACTTTCTAATGGCTTTATATCTAAAATTGTAAATAATTTAATAACACATTTTTTCCTTTTGTAGGTTAGGCATATATAAGTCTTCAAGACTATGAGTCTGTAAATGCAAGAATATAATTCTTTAAGAATTATATAAGATGGAACACTCCCGGTCTGATTTTAAAAGGCAACCTTACACTATGAGAAACTATTCATCTAAGAACCTTTTACTCTAATATTACACTTTCAGGCTGTCAATAAATGTTGGGAAATATTTTGAAGGATAATCAAGCATATAATACACTTCCTCATACCTGTACAGTCTTGAGCAACATAGATGGTTATTCCTTGTAACTCAGGGTCTCTTGCTTTTTCAACTGCTTTCCTAAAAGTATACACGACAGACACATTTCAAGTAAGCCAAAAAAAGAATTAAAGCTACACAGTCCTCAGGAAATGTTTTCTAGAAAAAGTCATAAAATTTTGAAAAACCAGCTTTAAAAGATTACAAATGTAAATACATGCAATTTATACTGTAAAATATGATATTTGCTTTTTTTAAAGGCCAATACATTATTAGATTTATCATACTGTATCCACATAGGTACAAAGAAACAAAAAGTGGACAGGATCATAAGATTCACAACTAGTATTAGACTGTTTGAATGAAATGCACAAGAATAGGTACTGCTTAGAGTTCCATCTCAAGTGAGATAACTTAAAAGCTTGCTTTCCCATGATAATCCTGATGCTTTGGAGCATCCTTCTTGGGCTTCTTTGAGGCCATCAAAATTATTTGGGGGGGCATGTGATCTAAGCTGCCATTGAGGGAGAGTGGCATTTTGGTTAGTAGTGTGACTGGAGAAGTGTATGTATACTATAGACATAAGAGCAAAGGTAGTCAATCAATGAAACAATTCCAAGACAAAAATCTAAACATTCCACCTGTTTCTGTAAATGGATTTATGATTTTAATGGCTTTCATGTCACAATGCCTAGATTTGTTATACTATTTGATATAACAAACAATTCCAAACAAGCACAATTTTTTACTTTTAACTCTACTCCTGAAGAGGGAAATTTTTAACTCTCAACTTGAACAGACCTTCAATGAAAAAATGGCCAATGAAATTGTTTTCAGAAATGCCAAGTGAGTATGTAAGTGTTCAACTAAAACTATGGGGAAAAAGTTAACAAATTTCTGTGCTAATTTAATTAGTTACTTTTACAAATATAATAGGCTACATAAATAACTTCAACTCTTAGACAACTACATTATTTTAAGTTTCATTCAAGGAGACTGTTCTTGCTACAAAAACCATGTGCACCCTGAATTTTCAGAGATATATTACACCTTGATTTTAGATTCTTCTCATTAGAAGACTGTGTAAAATTGCAAAAAATAAAACTATAAAAATAGTTTCAATCAATGGCATATAATCATAATCTATATTTAGAAATTTGACTTTCATATAAAAAGACTAGGCTGAATGTCAGACACTTTACTTTTATTTAGATGTAATTATTACTAAACTTATACATTGAACATCTCACAAAAATTTGATATATTTAAAAAAACACTGAAAGCATCAGTTTTAATCTCTGACAGCTCATTACATCATCAGTATAGTAAAACAGGAATTCTATGGTTCTAGTTTTTATAACACATCATTAAAGATATTGTAGTTAAAGGCTAAATTTGTAATGCATCTGGCCTCTTGTCTCGAGGCCCCATGAGAACATTTCAGAAATCAGAAATTGGACAGAAGTTCTTCAATATTGTTTTCATGATTCTGCAACATTTTTTCGTACCTGAATTATAAATAATCAGGACCCATTTTTAAATGTATACCATTTTTAACCAAGTTTGCTGTCAAGAATTTTGTTTTTACCTCAAAAGGTGTGCTACCACTGCTGGCCCATACCAATCTCCAGCTGTTTTCCCAGATTTACTTCCATATTCTATCAGCCGATGCAAGCCAAAATTGGCAAGGGGTGAATCACCAAACCAAGATATGATTCTTCGGTGATACTGCTCCTCCACGCTTTCTTCGCTTTCTCGGATGTGCATTGGACTTTTAGGATGATTTGACTGGTTCCTGAATTCTCTTTCTCCTATAAGGGATGTTTCAAGAGATGCTGTGAGCTTTTTTACTGTCTGAGTTGTCCATGATTCAGACTCTGGATTCTCGAAAACAAAGGCATTGGCCCAAGTCCAATCTGTGATAGGATTAAAAACATATTATATTAGAGGTTACTGAAGGTTCCAATATGACAGGAACTTGTTTAAGAAGATTTCTACTCTCTGTTATCCTATTTCATATTAAAGTTAGATATTCCATAAGAAAATGCTGCAATTTATCAACTTTACAATAAGTGTTTCAATTAAACTAAATGCATAAATGTACAATAATATGGAGCTTAAGTCAGCAATGTAAGAACAGCCACAAAACACCCATTCAAGAGAGAAAAAAGTATGGCAATTATTGTCAAATATTTTGTCCTTATAATTTCACATTAACTAAAAAAGTTAGCATATCTATGAGATTGTACTAAGATTTAACTGAAATTAAATGGTTTATATTTAAATTCTTTCAGAGTAAACTGTCTGTGCTGGTTAGAAACTCTTGATATGAGAAGCCTCCTCAAATTTAGGATTTCTCAAGCATAAAAACTTTCGTCCACACAACTCTTGATAGCTTACCTCTACCAAGAAAGTGGAGAATAAGTCCTTGAGCCAGAAGCATTTGTCCAGTCCTCAAGGTACAGCCCCAGCCACAGTCTGTGGTTAAAACTGAACCCTTGATTTGGGGAAATTCTTCTCTGTAAGTCAACCATATCCTAGAAATAAAGTCTTTACGGAACTCTTCAATGTTTCTGGAAAACCTTTCTTCTGTCATGTCATCACAGGAACCATTTGGTGACTGGTCACTGGGTTCTGTAAGAGACATATCACGCGTACATGTTGTAAAAGAAGTAAAAACATGAACACATTATCCCCAGTTTATTAATATCGTACATCCTATTGTAAGAAAAGGTCATTTTGTACAGCTATAAATAGCATTTACAGATGCAGCCACTGGAAGAAAGATAAAACTAAAGGCTTTCAGTAAACAGCAAGGACATGTTCTCTTAGTAGAGTTCAAGGACCTTGTTAAAAGTTTCTATACTCTTCTCTTCAGAAGGTAAATCCAAACAAAAGCTCTGCTTTGAGTTGATTATAAAAGCAGTCTTAACCCTAAAATCCTTTCATGGGAAAGAGCTGTCAAAACAGAAACAGTCTTTTTCTCCAGCTCAGAGATCACCTTAAGGACTTGTGTATGTTTCCAACTTCTTTTGCAGTCCTTTTTTATCCTTCAGGAGGTGAGCCCATATATCTGAACTGATCTAATACTCAAGTATTTTCAGAAGCTCCCGCAAAAGTAAAATCCAAGGTTTTGTTACGTAAATATAAGAGAAACAAAACCAATAGCCACTCGGATTTAAAATTAGGTACACATACCATCGCTCTTGAAATGGTAGCATTTTCCCAGCAAAAAGACAGGAGAATTTCTGCTAAAGTAAGTTTTGGTTTTCAGTACCCAGCCTACAAACAAAGACAAACATAGATTTTTTTTAAAAAAAGCTGCTCCATCTAGATTGGGTAAAAAAAAACTAATCAAGGAAATTAAAAATAGTAACTTTCCATTTTAATCTGAAACACATTCTAGTGTCTTTTAAAGATGGGAGCAAAATGAAGGTGTGGCTTAGTTTTCAAAATATCACAAACCAACTTAATCCTCTAAACAAGCATTTTTCTTTCATTCCTTAAATCAGAGTTTCTCTTTTTTTTTAAAAAAAAAATAAGTTTTAAGAAGTTACAATTAACATTTTTTTAAATGCATTATATAGCAAAGCAACATTACACAAAAGTCCATACAAGTATCTAATAAAAAGACATCTCCCTATGCTCACTGTCAAGATAATAGCCACAGAATTAAAACTCAGCCCGTTTTTACATATCATCGAAGTAGGGTGTTGACTGCACGAGTACAGGAACTATCGTGATTTTTTGACCCTGTGCCCATCTCAATTACCCGAAAGATGGTTAAAACACCAGGCTAGAAACTAGGTATTGTTTATTATTAGATAGGTCAAGGATATAGGAGAAGAATCAGGAGTTTGTAACAAACCACCCCTCCCTCCACAAGTCAACCCTCTAAGGCAGAGATGGCGAACCTTTTTTGCCTCGGGTGCCAAAAGCACACGTGTGTATGCTATTGCATGCGTTCACATGTCCACCCCCATAATTTAATGCCTCTCTCGCAGTGACCCCCGTGAATGCACGTGTGACCACCACCACCCCTGCTGCCCCATGCATCCACACATGGCTTTCTTGGAGCCTGGGGAGGGAGAAAAAGCACGTTTTCCAAATTCCGGTGGGCCCGGTAAGTCGGTTTTTCACCTTCCCCAGGCTCCAGAGGCTTCCCTGAAGCCTGGGAGGGCGAAAAAATGGCCCAACGCGCAAAGCAGAATTTTGGGGGCAGACTTCTGGGTTGCCCAATGGGCCACTTCTCTCTCTCTCTGGAGGCTTCAGGAAAGCCTCCGGGGGGTGAAAAACTGCCGAAAATCAAGGCCGAAAATCAGCTGGCCAGTGCACAGTGCTGGAGCTGACAGGGCAACTCCTTGCGCGCCCTCAGAAATGGCTTTGCGTGCCACCTGTGGCACACATGCCATAGGTTCGCCATCATGGCTCTAAGGTGACAAATTGCTATTTTAGAGTCCGGCAACAAGAATTGCTGCACAACAGGTCGTAATCTTACCAGTTTGAGATTGTTCATAAAAATATCAAATACAGCCAATATATACATTGTAGCATTTGATGTTACAATGGTTAGTAAATAAAGATCCATGATATCCCCAATGCCCAAAGACAATCCCGATGGATCAATCCCTGGTTAGAAATGATGACTGGCAGGTGGTACACCTGAGCAGAAGAGCCCGCCCAACTCAGAAGATCTTTATCATGATTAGCATGACCGTACTTAGCAATGTTAAAGTCCCAGGATTCCATCCATCTATAACCAGAAACTTCAGAAACATTCGAAACCCACAGTAGTTGACACCTCTCCACGACTAAATCTGATTTGATGAACGAGGCCCTAGATGGTATAATAGGTTCACAACCCAGGAGCAGACGCTGTCCTGTCGCAAAAGTTGTTCTGAGTGACAGAAAACATGATTGTGATGTGCGCATCTTGCATCATGGGTAGTTTCACAGATTTGCAGTATGTGGCTCCAAGTTTCAGGAGCACCGCAGGCAATTCTGCAGCACTTAATCGACCACCTGATGTCAGGTGCCATGCACATTCTTTGGCTTGATGGCGAGTAGACTGCCCCTCATTTGGATGCCCCATAAATATAAGTGAGGGAATGCTCAGGAGCATTCAGGGGCACAACAACCACTTGTGACTGGCTCTGTAAATGTCAGTGATGCTCAACTCTTGGTCGTCAATAGGACTGGGCAACAGCATTTCTCCACTCAGTCCACATTTTTGCTTTAGAGGTTTTGGCGACAGAGTCACCTTACATGGATTTATTTGGCTCTCAAGAGAGCAGAATACATCTTGTCGCTAGACAACTCGAGTAGTGTGGTGGAACTTGATGCAATTTTCTCAAGCTGGGCCTACTGTAGAAGGAAGATAGAGGTGAAGAAACAGGGAACCCACCTAACTGTGTCCTTGACATTGGAACTGAGGTATCCCAAGTGAGTGTCCTTCAGTACTCGCAGCCAGTGTCTCACAGCGGAATGGACCAAACAGTCCAGCTTCTTTGACATGCTATGGTGTGCTTGATCAAGAAAAAACCTTGTGAATACATTTTGGCACCAAATAAGATTGCAGCAGCCTAAACTGTTAGTACAGCTTAAGGGGTGCCTCAAAGATTTCTTGCAACATGGTATGTTGAATGTTGGTATGTTTGGGGATGATACATCCCTTCTAGTTAAACTGGAGGCCTAGGTATCACATCAAGTGAACGGGGGCCTAGGAGGCGAATGGTGGCGCCGCAAAGTAGGAGGAGGTTGGTGTAATAGAGGCATTATATTTCCACTTCCTGCCTTTAGTGATGATGAGGCCAAAGGACTTCTTCGCATTCAATGACATACTGGCTGAACGGATACCCCTAAATAGACAGTCAAACTTTTTCTGCAGTCTGGTGGATCTCTCCTGCCAGAAGAAGCAGGTCATTGGCCTAAGATAGAGAGTTGATCCTCTGGTTATCGAAGTTGAACCCAATATAAGACAATGAAGCTCGAAAGATATCATTGATTACCATCATGAGTAGGAGCACCCAAACAGGAAGTCAAAATCCACAAATCCAGTGCCGAGTTGCAAAACAAGATCCATAAGTCACAATCCAGAGTCAGTCTGCAAAGCAGAGTATGCAAATCCAGAGGCTGAAAACAGGAGTCAAGGTTTCCAAAAGTCAGAGGAGTGCATGCCAAGACAAATTGTTCCTAATGAATGCACCCTCCCCCAGCCCTTGAGCCAATTGTTTCTTGTGAAGAGGGATGGAACAGCCTCCTTCTGAGCAGCCTTGCAGACCTCCTCTGAGATTCCCTTTGCTCCACTCTCAGCATCCGCTTATCGGGTGGGGGTGGGAGGCTGCAAGGATTTGGCATCATAGCTGCCTGTCTGCAGCCAAACCTCCCCTGCATTCATGAAGGCAGGCAACTCCCCATCTGATTAACCACTTTCTTGGACCCTCCAGAAGTTCTAGAGGATATGTGCAATCCCTGTTGGATGGTCCCAGTTCCGATTCTTCCTCTTCCTCTGAACCGGGATCTGATGGGGACATGACAGTGATACAAAAGTGCGTCTGATGGCACATGGTGTTAAACGCCTTGGTGACATCCAAAAATAACATCGCACAAAGAACCTGGTTGATATGGACCCTCCAAAAACATAGAATGAAGCAAGGTCATTGCCTTGAGACAGCTATCCCTCTTTAAGAAAGCAGATGGGAAAGAGGAGAACTGAAGCTTGTCACAGCTTGTAATCAAGAATCTTGTGAAGAGCGCAAAGAAAGATGGAAGCCATCAAGAGGAGTTGATAATCTCCTGGAGTTAATAGGTTTTACGTTTTTGGCAAAAAAAACCACCTGAGAGCAAGCCAAATGAGCAGGCAGACCACCAACTGCCAATATCAAGTTGAAATAAACTGCTAGTAAAGGCTGGTGTGTTGTCAGATCAGAAGCAGAAATACAGTTCAGGCTGGGTGTACTGGACTTCCTAGACTGCAAGGCCATTATGACTTCCAACAGAGAAATAACTTCCAGGAGGGACCACAAAAATGCAGATGGTTGTGCTGATTGTATATCATTGATTGTTCTAGGCAACTCGAAAACTGCTGATCAATGTTTGTTCATCTCGGGTGGTAGAAATGAAGGACTGCAACTATGCAATAATGTTCTTCCAGCTATCTGGAGAACATAGCAACAGCATCTTTTCTTTGGAGCTTGTAGATGTGCTGGAAGATAGCATAATTTTCCCTACAGGCATCATCTTGATTTTTTTTTTACCCCTATCTACTCCTGCTTCAATTACAATAAATAAGTGACTAAGGCATCAGACTAGAAATTGGGAGACTGAATTCTACTCCTGCCTTAGGCATGAAAAACTGGGTGACTTTAGGCCATCAGCCTCTCTCAGCCCAACTCACCTCACATTGTTGTTGTGGGGAAAATAGAAGGAAGGAGCATGAGATATGTTTGCTGCCTTGAGTTCTTTACAAAAATAATAAAAGCAGGATAAAAAGAGATAAATAACATGCAACATGGGGGGAACCACAGGGGGGGCACTTTAAAAAGCTAAAAAGAGAGAGAGAAGGAGAAAAAAGTGAATAGATTCACAAAGCCTGTTGGAGGAAAAGCTTTTAAGTAAGCAACTAAACAAAAATAATCAACCCACACAAAAACACCATTAACAAATACATCAAACAGTTGGAGTATCAAGATTAGGTTTCATTGTTTTTATTTCGTTGTTACGATTCAATTTTTAAACAATGTAGTCAAACTAAAACATAGAGAATTATGCTGTCTGGTCTCATCTGTTCTTCAATACAAAGCTAATTCAAAGGCCAAATTTCATTACAACACCATTTATAGTTTGGCACACAATATTTATTTCAGGAGTAAATAGTCACCTTTTTCTAATAGTCCAATATATCAAAAGTTCTTTCTGAATCAAGATGTTCCACATTTCTAGTGCATAATTTACTATTTTACTAATACTTTTGTCTTGTAAATGCCTGCCAAGTTCCTGGTTCATTATAATAACATCTAGTAAAGAATTGCAAGATAGACACACCTATAACATGGCTAGCAAACTTCCTTGAAATTTATTGCATCTTTGGTATAGAAAACATGACAGTTATCCTTTAAAAACATTCTTGGATAACATTCTTGGATTAGTTATTTATTAAATTTGTATGTTGCCCATCTCACCATCAAGCAGCTTTTAATGTCCAATAAACCCAGAAATATATATATTGCTAAAGTCATTCATTACCCAAAGTAGGATTATTTTTATAATATTTTAAATTTATG